AGATAGCCTCCCCAATTATCACCTCTAATACCATTAGCTCACAGACATTTACCTTCCCCCTTCCCCCGCATCCCCCTTCTGTTCTGAAATTTGATTTGTCCTTTTCATATGTGTTCATTTTTTTTTAATTGTATCCTTTGGTATATATGGTTGTGACAATTTTCTTCCACTATTTGATCTGAGGAAGTGGCTCTGGCCCACGAAAGCTCATCATCTAACAAACCATCTTGTTAGTCTTTAAAGTGCTATATAGTCCTGTATTTTGTTTCAGCTACACCAGACTAACACGGCTACATTTCTATCACTATTCTAAATAGTTAAAAGAGGCTGATAAGAATCATTAGTTTGCAATAGGAAAGGAAGAGTACTAACACCAGATTCTACACAGACATCAAGAACCACTGGCACTTTCATTATTTGGTTGGTTGATAGTGTGCGAGCCATCCGATATCACGATTTAGACCATTTGCATGAGAGTTAAACTTGAGAATGTACTAGTTCCGACTTACATACAAATTCAACTTAAGAACAAACCTACAGTCCCTATCTTGTACGTAACCCGGGGACTGCCTGTATTTGACCTGAGGAAGTGGGTCTGGCCCACAAAAGCTCATCATCTAATAAACCATCTTGTTAGTCTTTAAAGTGCTACATAGTCCTGTTTTTTGTTTTAACTATTTAGTCTTTAAGGTGCTAATAGACTATTTGTTGTTTTATAGTTTTTCCTGTTACAGTCTGGCTCGGCTATCCCTTTGAAACTTATCTACCCAAAGTCCTCTTCCTTCACCCACACGCCTTATTTATTCTTGGTTCTGGACTTCCAACACTCCAGTCCTCTGAGGAAGTGGGTTGTGCCTATGAAAGCTCATGATATCATCTATATATTTTGTTAGTCTTTAAAGTGCTACCTGACTATTTGTTGTTTTTTAAGTTTTTTTTATTATTAAGCCCTGTGAGTGTTTTTCCCACAGAAGCCTTGCGGTACGGGTGCTGAGAAAACAGAGAGTACAGAGCACTAGGACTCTGCTTCTCTTAACCTCTTCTGGCAGCTTACAGCTTGATGCAAAAGCAACATTATTTTGTGCTTATATACTGACCAGCTAGGGAATTCCAATTCAACCCTCACATAGCAGCAACCCAAGTAATAGAAGGTGGATGGAGGTCACAGGTAGATTACACTATCATGTGCAGACCATTTCCCTTGCCCAGGAATGCAATTTGGCAATTCAGTACGTGGGAGGACAAAGGAAGTGTGAACTGTGTAAGTCTGTGGAGAAGCTAGCTGTGGTTACACAATACATATAGAATGCAGTTCCCTGATTTTTTATTTTTTATTTTTTACTAAAAGTGTAGTCAGAAGCCAGGATATGGTCCATCATAACTAGACACTGCAGCTTACATTAGAATTTAGGGGAATATTAATTAAAAACATCAAGGCAGCTGCAGTACGTACATACACAACATGGATTGGCTGATGTATCAGTAAGGCTAAGTAAGGGGACATTTGTGGGTGTGAATTCTGAAGATAGAACTAATCAAATGATCCCTCCAGTGAGGCAGTGGAACGGCAGAAAGTAGTCTGAAAATGTAATTCCATATCTAAAAGTCTTTCAAACTAATTTTGTTTTCTAATTACTGAAAAAGTCAGTGTAAAGGTATTATTATTGCAAATGATAAATATGCAAAATACTAATGTTTTAATCAAACATTTTTAAATAAAAAGATTCCCTTATCCCCCTGGGACTCAATCTTGCTCCAATTAAAATCAACGGAAATTGTGTAATTGACTTCATTAGGTGCGAGAGCAGGTTGTTGCTCAGTTAGGCCTGTTTTGCACATCTACTATATATTTGAGAGAATTAGTTTGCTGTGCATTTGTGCATGAATCTGTCTGTGCATCTGTATGATCAAGAACTCCTCCTAAACTGTAAGAGCTAGGACCACCAAATTTGGTATGCAGCTTCTTATCATAACTTCAAGCAAGGATTTTGTTGTGCCAGGAAAACAGGCTTTGTGCAGAATGGAATTGAGTCTCATAAAACCATACAGAAAAGAGACAGAATCACTAAGCAGGTGAAAGGTGCTGTCTGGGGGCATATCCCCCCATCTGGAACTGCTCCAGCTCTGTGTCTCCCTGCCCCCAGGTGCTCATTCATATGGGGATGTTGCTGGCTATTCCACTTCATCAGAATGGGAGAGGAAAGTGCACAGTTTGCTGCATTCCTCACTCTGGCTGGAGAGCAAAGGGGGAAGACGAACCTGAACATGCCTCAGCTGGGGGACATACAGCCCTCCCTCCGGATGTGCCTGCTGGAGCTGAAGCAGCCATAGAGAGGCACTTCTCTTTCCCAGGGACAGCCTGTATATTGAACTCCTCAACCTTAGCCCCATCCCAAGGTAATGATTTAAATGAAGAGAAACAAAAAATAATTGAGTTAAGGATCCAAACAAAGTCAGGAATATCTTCTAATTATTTATATTAGCAAAGGCCTTGTAGTTTTATTGATTGTACCTGTCATGACCATGAGGGTTAGCCAGCAGCTGTGGACTAAGAGGTTAACTATGTCCCTTACCTAACCAGGTAGCCAGTAACCAATAGAAATGTAGGTAAGAATTTCAAATTGGGACAAAGGAATTTTTGGTTTTTCCCTCCTTTGTCCCTGAGCAGTTTCTCTCCAGCTACTGAGGGGGAGAGACAAAATATCTCGCTCCAAGAAAAGACTCTTCACTATCTCTAAGTAGGGTAAAGTTTAGATAAATCCATTAGGTTTTATTGTTTTATGGTTTGGGAATGGGAATCTGATGTATGTGCATTTAAAAATGAGTTTTCCTCTCCTTGTAACTAAGCTCTAGGGCAGGCCCATGGGGGGATCCCCCCATGAGTATATTAATTGGTGACTTTTCCTTCTAGTCATTATGCTTGTAACAGGAGCATTGTGGTGATAATAAAAGTTCTTTCTCTTTCCTTTTTATTAACCTGGTATTGGTTAATTTTTGTGTCCTGGTTTTACTGTAGGGCTGAGATTTCCCAAGTGATCTCTCCTCTGGTTTCCTTATTATTACTTGGTGGCGGCAGCAGATTTTAATCCCCAAAATCTAGGTTTTTAAGATTTTGGGGGGAAGTTTTATACCAAAGCCTGTAGAGATAAGGTTTTGGGTTACTTTTGGGGGCCCCTGCTTCTACATTTATCGTGCCAGAGTGGGGAAGAAGCTTTGACAGTACCCCTTTACTCTTATGTTTTCCTCAAAACAGTGAAAATCCCTCTTATTTGAAGCACTTAGACTGGTTAAAACATTTAAAAACACTCAGCAGGGAACTGGGTTCCCATGATGTTGGACTAACTTAGGCTATGTCTGTTCTACCAATTATGTCAATATAACTTTTGTCATTCAGGGATCTGAATAAAGCACCTCCCTGAACAACATAAGTTACTGCAACATAAGTGCTGGTATGGACAGTGCTATGTTGGCAAGAAAGTGTCTCTCACCGACATAGCTACCACAACTTGTTTGGGATTGATTAATTAAGTTGATAGGAGATCTCTCTCCCATTGGCATAGAGCAACCACACTAGAGAGCTTAAAGTAGTACAGCTCCACCGCTGCAAGTTCTCTGGCGTAGACAAAGTCTCTGAGGAGATTCCACATTCTGAGATGCCCCCTAACTCTGAGTTATCATTCTATAAAGAGAGTGTAGCCTCACCATAGTAAGGGGCAAGTGGGATTAGCCTCCTGGAGTACAATCCTGTCTGAGATGCCAGGTATGCAGTTGGGGTAGCTGAACCATCCCACTGCTCATGCTAGCACCATTTACAAACACAGCTACTGTAGGTATGACTCCTTGGGTGTGTCGGGGACTCGAACCCAGACGGCTTCGGTTCGTTGTCTGACCGCAAAGAGACAGGCAACGCCAGCAAGGTCCAATCACAAGCTCTTTATTGAAGAGTGCACACAACAATAGAGAGCGGCCCGTCTCCAAAGAGAACCAGCCCCGATTTCAGTAACAAGTAGGTTTATATAGACAGTTCCGTTGCGTCATAAAACGTTTGCCCAAGCAACCCATCCCCCTTAACTAGTTGGACGCTTCTAGTGCTCATGCATACCTAGCCGACTATACATCGTGGCCTTAAGCAATTCATAATGTATCAGTAACTTTCTTATCAGCCCAGAAGACAGGTACCAGACAACAAGGAGACAGGGAATTAGGAACAAACGGAGGGCAGAAACAGGGAGTTAAGATCAGCGAGGGAGAACAGAAACAGGGAGTTAGTTTATCAGTTCTCAAAACAAGCTGTTCTACTCACCGCAGGTACAAGAATGCAATTTTTTACTTATTGTACCTTTGCAACCTAAGCAAGTATGTAGGGTGTGCCCTTGCTTGAACCGTGTCTCCAGTTCTGCTCAGGGATTACCCAGAAACCTTTGTTAGCTTCTTTTTGGTTTGTCTTAGGATACCCGCCCTAGGCCCAATTTTCTGTGACCTAACAGGTGGGAATTAAATGACACAGCTTGAAGGGTAGACATACCCTCAGGGGAGGCCCTAGACTAGCTGCCAGCAACTGGCGCCCTAGGCAAACCATGCAATCGGCGCCCCCAATGATATTGCGCCACCATTTGGTGCCCCATTTAACTTGGCGCCCTAGGCAACTGCCTAGTTCGCCTATATGGACGAGCTGCCCCTGCATACCCTAAGGCTAGCTCTATACTGCAACGTAAGCCCAGGTCTGTAGGGTTATTATTTGTAAGCCTACGCTTGAGCATCTATGCTGAATACCGACCTTAGGTTTAGACTTTCTGCATTCAGGCCTAACACCTGTTCTAAGGCATCTGCACTACTCTGCACAAAGCTGAGACAAACCAGCCTCTCTCAGGCATCCTAGCATTCTGCCCACTTGTAGCCGCTTTAGCCTTTTGTATGTGGGAAAACTTGACTGTCCATCCCATGGCACTTTCGGGGAAGTGGTTGCAGCCCACTAACACATCTGTCTTTTGGGTCTGCAGGCTCCTGGCAACCAGAGTCAGCAACACAGAAATCATCATGTAAAGAACTGGTCCTGACTGCACTTCCATTCTTGGGTCAGGAAACATTGTATCCATGAGATGCTGGTGGACACTTTGGTAATGTTTCCTGACGTACTGAAGACAAGAGGATGACAATACAGACATGGAAGTCTCGGACTGTCTTTGATGTGGCTTGATATAGCTGCTGCTGCCCCCTATGGAGACTAGCACTTCTGGAACAAAGCCATAAGCAAAGACTCATGGGATTCTATCATCATGATAGAGACCTGAAATGACCAGCACTGGTTCCAGAACATTCACATGAGGCAAGTTACATATATGGAGCTCTCTGAGCTGCTTGCCCCAGCTCTCCAGTATGAAGGCACACACTTGAGGGAAGCCATGCTGGTCAGAAGTGGGTTACTATAACCACCTGGAAGTTGGACACCTCAAACAGGTCAGTTATTAACAAGTTTGGTGTTGGAAAGCCTACTGTGTGGGCTGTGGTTGTATCAAAATACTAAACTGTATTATAGTATTTAACTACTAGATGGCGCCACAAACAACATACCTTAGCTGAGCTCATCATAGATAAACAGGGCTGGGAATTAAATGATCTTATAGTGACTGCCTGTCTGCTGCAACTCTCTGGAGTAGATGTCTGGTAGAAGAGCCTGATCTGAAACATAGCTTTATAAATGGACACAAAAAGGACTATTAATTAAACTTCAGAATAAAAACAGGTGTTGACTGCGATTTAGCAGTGCTATAAAATATTTTCTTACACTATATCTATCAAAACTCCAAGCACTATGAAATTAGTTCATGAAATGGCAACCTCCCACACACTGAAAAAATCTGCAAACATTTCTGTAATAGGCATCTGTACGAGAAAATGTATGTAAATGTATGTAGATATTCATTCTTGAGAAGTGCGTACATGTTTCAATTTCATCTTTGTGTGGGAAGTTGCTATTTAAGTAACTTCCCAGCATGAGGAGGAATGATTTATACAGTTCATCTCAATAAAAAAGGGAAAGCAAAGTCTTTGTGAATGACTTTCTGTAGATGTTGCTGAGATCTTCTTACTCCAATAAACACATACTCAGATATTGGGGTGATGGAGTCCAAAACAAAGCCCTGTGGTAGAAAAATAGCTCTCATCTGAACAGACGTACCTAAATTGTTATATTAGGGATCACCACAATCTGATGAGTTATGGATTTTAAGGAAAGAACTATTAGATCACCTGTTTTCACTGCTTGTATAACACAGGCTACAAGAATTTCATCCACTTATGTTTGTATTGAACTTAGTACCTTGTTTTTGGCTAAAGCATAACTTCCAGAAAGCATCCAATCTTGAAGCCATTAAGAGCTGGAGTCTTCATCACTTCCTTTGGTAGTTTGTACCAATGGTCAGTAACCCTCACTATTAAAAAATAGGCCTTATTTCTACTTTGAAAATGTCTGTCTTTAACTTTAAGCCACAGGAATAATGTTTATATCATCAACTTCTGTGCCAACTGTTGACTCCATCATATAATGTGATCCCTGAAAAAGGATGGGTCACCAAATGCACATAATGTCTGTATTGGCACCATCTGCAAAATGGTATGTAACTTGCCCAGAAAGAGGCATACATAGCATGGCACACAATGCTGACCTGAGCTGGAGTAAAGCATGCTTGTTAGCATTTCTGTGTGTTCAGAGTGCTGTTTGGCTACCCTTTTAGGTTAACACCCTCATCCAGCAACCTGCAGAAAAAGTGAGCATTTAAACATGGGTGTCAATAACTAATAGGTGCCTAATATTGGACTATGATAACATTTAATCAAATGTGCTCTAGGTATTTTGCAGTCAAAGAAGAACATCTGATGTGCCACAAAGAGTTTAGAATGTAGATAGACAGAAAATGATTCAGGGTTAGGATGCAGCAAGACACTCTTGGGTTAGGATGCAGGATGACT